GGGCGGGGGAGACACTCTTTCCAATGAATCTTCTACTGTTAGGGACCGTGTGTGTAATTTGTCGCCAAGGACTCGCGCCTCGTAATTGTTTTGTTATTAGGTTAAGAAGATGGAAGTCTTTGAGAGTGATTTCGCTTCTGTTGGTGACCTTGTTTTTTGTAATTGTTTTCGTTGTCGATATGGTCAAGACTGTGAGTGTTCGTATTAGGATTTATTTGTTTTTTGTTTGTAGTATTGTTGATACCTGTATCATTACTGTTGTTACCATCATTTCTAATATTATTGTCATTAACAAAATGTTTATTGTTGCCATAATCATGGAAAGGTATGATTGTTGTTGTCATCATCCGCATTGCTTGCATATATCTTTACATGGATGAAATTATGCTTGCTTCAATATAAATAATTATCAACTCTCATTATCATCTAACGGAAGGTTCAAAATGAACCATCGTGGCTCTCCATGACACTCTATCTCTTCCCAATCTGATCATGCAAAATAGTCAGGGGTTGGTTTGTGACAAAGTAAGGACTCAAAGGTTCTTTCTTTGTTCGCAGTTCCTGGTAAGTAGGTGGTTTATCTCTGATGTATATTTCCAGTTGCACTGTATATGCGCCGGACATAGTTCGCGAAGCCATCTGTACGACTGCACCTTCCTAGCCCTTCATGAAATCCACAGTCCTGTTGCCGACAGCTTCATCGCATCCCTGGCACGAGGAGCTAATGGGGTACAAGCCATGCTTAGGCGCACCCTAGGATGCAGTTTAACGTCTGTTTTGCTGTATTCCCTCATTCGATAATTCATCAATCTATGTACTTTATTTTCTTTTGCTCATTATACATCCTCTATTTCTATCCTCAGTATGGCCCAAGGACATCGCAGTGGTGTAGGATACTTCCTCCTGACGGGACTCTGCCTCTTAGCATTCCTGAGGACGTGTACCTCTCTCGTCCGGGTCAGCGGCGAGGAAGAGCCCCTGGTCTGGGATGACCTTCAGGAGGAGGTCGAGGAGATGCTTTGGGATAAGAATTACTGCGAGGTCGAGCACGCCCTTTGCTCGCACAACGGCACCACGAGACCAGTCAACGAGTCGAGTCCTGTGTACGTCGGTGGGCTGTGCAGGTGAGTTTCTCTCAGGACTTCTGCCTGCTTGTAAAACCCGATTGTTAAGCTCTGACTTCTTAGCAACAGTAATAACAACGATACGGCCTTGAAATCTGAAATCCTTTTGGCAGTATAAGTGCAGATGGCTTCACGAGCGTTTGCAAGGCTAACGAACCTTCAACAGCAAAAAGAACAACCGAGTGGCCTCTCCTTCTGTTCATAGTTTGTTATCCTTTGTTGCCCTCGTATTGCACAGTAAAACGACAGCCTTTCTGCACACACCCAAGGCAATAACACTTCTAATAAGTATTTTACGGTGCCATTGCAAGAGATCAAGCCCGCTGAAATTCAGGGAGATCAGATAGTGATGTTCCACAAGAACCCTCTTGAACTTTACAATCTCTAGTAAAGTTAGTTAGGCCTAATGTTTTCATATTAAAAAGTTATCATACTAGCGAAGTCCATTCAGTAAAAACTACCTGCTTTGTATATGTGGCCAGGAACATATTTGCAGAAATAGCTATTATGGTGGCATTGTGTTTCAGAAAGGTATTTGCAAGGAAGCTAAGCATAAGGAACAAACGTCTGAAGATTATCATAAACATGGCTAGTCAGTCGCGTAGTTTAAGGAAACTTACTTTGAAGTGAAAGATAAAACGCATATCGATGCGCCGTGACATTTATACATACATACATACACACTCAATCACTCACTCACACACCCACTCCTCACTCACTCACTCACATTCACTCACTCATCACACACACACACACACACACACACACACACACACACACACACACACACACACACACACACACACACACACAACACACACACACACACACACACACACACACATATATTATATATATATATATATATATATATATATATATATATTATATATTTGTATATATGTATACATAAGTATATATATATGCATATACATAAATATATATAGATATACATACACACACATATATGTGTGTGTGTGAGTGTGCGCGTGCATGTGTGTGTGTGTATTTATGAATATATGTACCCACCTCAATTCCTCTTCATCAGCAGCATTACCCAACCCCCACCACTTTGGATCCGCCCACAGCCAGTGCCACTGCGACGACGACTGCCTTCGATACGGCGACTGCTGCCTGGACAAAGCCCCGACAGCCGAAGGAAAGGAAGGAGAGGAAGGGAGAGAGCGGTTCAACTGCAGGAAGACAGAGCCCATGGTAGTGTAAATGCTTCTACGTAACGGTCAATTGCGGTTTTAATGTGTGCAGACGTCTGTGGGTGTACTATATGTATATAATCATATATACAATGCATATGAATGTATCTATTCATCTATATCTACCTATCTATCCACACACACACACGCATGCACACACAT